CGGTGGGCGCGCGCCTCCCTGACCCCGGCTCACCTCGCCTCACCTCACCCCGCGGCCGCAGGAAATGGCGGCGGCGCGGAGCCACAGGGGCCGCCGGGCGGGAGAGCGGACACCGGGCTCAGCCCCCAGCCGAGCTCACGGAAGAGCCCGCAGAAGAGGCTCCGCTGAACTGAGGCGCTTCCCCACCGGCATAATGAACCCGGTACAGAACGCGGTCACCCGCGCATTCCCAAAGCGGAACAAGTGATGTCCCGGGTCCTCTCCGGGTAATGAATCCCGAGGTATTTAGGGATTCAACGAACCCGTTCCAGCGGAGGTCTGTGGTTTCTTCTTTCCTGTGTATAAACCTGTGAAATTTCCAGAACAGCAGAAACCAGAGGTGTTTGCCTCAACCCTTTCGTGTGTCCGAGGCTTTTAATACTAGCTGATAAATATGCGGCGACTATTTAAACATAAACCTGTTATGTTCAAATAATGCTAAATAATCTTATGCTGCAGCAAAAGATTGCTGCAAAACGTTTTCTGTAAAATAAAACCCTTAGGAGTAATATTGTGTAAGTCATCCCAATTTTTTCTCTCAGTTAAAAGGATTTTATTTTTCAGTTGATACCTGAATAGCAACGTATCTTAAAGTATTTATAGCAATTTAATTCGTGTTTGTGTCTAGAACAAAATAAAGAACTTGACTGCAAATTGTCATGGATTTCCTTTCTGGGTTACTTTTCAAGTAGTTCTGTTTCTCCATTTGATTGACAATTGTGACCAAAGTTTTATGTATGCAAAGATACTGTAGGGACAGGAGGCTCTTTACCACTAATGCTCCCAAAGAGCTAACCATGAGCTTTTCCACTGGAAGAATTCTGAAAAGCATTAGTAGCAACACTTATTTTTGTTACTGATTCATAATACTCAAATCCTAGCTTTCAGGGGAGGAGAATGTGACATAAGGAAAACTAATATTAATTACTCTCAAAAAGGTTAGCGCTCTTATGATGAAATGTAGTAGAGATAATAGGGTACAGCAGGAATGGAACATCCAGAAGAAAATGCAGGAATATTTTCAACAAAAATGCTGAATTATCAGAGCCAGAATATGGCAAAGAAACCAGGAGGCTACAAATATAGTCAGGCTGTATCTATCAAATTTGCCAGAAGATCTTAGTAACCAGTGATAATTCTTCAGAAAACACACGGATGCTGCCCTATCTCTTCACACCATGCATGAATGTGAGCATAACAAGTACTTACTGCAATGTTGCAGTAACAAATTATTCTTTGATAAGATCAAAACAACCAACACAGCTGTGGAGATGATACACATTTGCATTTTCTGTCAAAGCTGTGGCCAAAATGAGGTCATATTTTTAATGCTACTTCTCTTTTGGCAGTATTTTGTAGGATTCTGAAGGAACAGGACAGCTTAGAGATGGTGTGGTGGTTTTATGAAACTATTCTCCTAAAAATACTATTGCTCTGCTCTTGTCATCAGTGTGACTTTGCTGTGTATTGACAGTTCTGATTGACTCAACATAGGCTTTGTGAGAGCCAACGTAACTTTTGAACAATGCCAAATTAGGAGCAGCAGATATTTTGTGAATTGGTTAATGATAGGACCACATTGGGCCGGAAATGCAGAAATTTCCAGTGCACTTCCATTAACTATAGCCATGTTTCCTAGAGAAATGCCATCGCCATCGTGCAGGACGTTCTTGAGAGCCACAGAACGACCACCTGCTTGGTGTGTTCCTTTTTGATCCATGCTGACCTGTTGAGGATCTGTTTGAGGAAACTGGTTTTGAAACCAAATTTCACATCCCTCCAGAATACTAAAATGAGTGGATGTTGACTTGAAAGCCTGTCACAATCCACATAATCCTTGTAAAGCAAGGTTGGCTAACATTCCTGGAGCCTTTTCTTCCTAACCGTGTAACTGACCCAGCACCAGAAACATCTGGTTCTAACCTGCAGATTACCTTGGATTTTGCTGCTGCTGCTTTCACTTGGCTTGGACAAGAACAGGGTCACCGAAGGGGAGGTTTGGCTCTTTTCCCATCGCATCTGCTTCCACTGTCACACACTGCCTGTGTCCCTTGCAGCAGCCTAGTGGGAGGGAGGCTCGCTGCTGAGAGGAAGCAATGCTACTTTCATAGCAGCCAGCTTTGATACTTGAAGGGACTGTGCAATCGTATCTAAAGTCTCTGATGACCTATTTACATTTAAAACTACTAGTTAGTGTTCTAGTTTGAAATGACAGGTAACGACAGATAAGGCATTGTCTCTGAAATGCATCTACTAGTTATCCCTTTGAATCTGCAAAATAAAAGCTTCCAGCAGTTGTATCTGCCAGTGAGTATCTACCAATAGGCTTACCAAAGGAGTAGAAAACCTTGTCTGAACTAATTTATGTCAGAACATGTGATATTAATTAAATTTTTTTCAAGCAGTACATGTTTTTATCACATAACTGGTTTTTGTATTGTCCAACTTCTGCTGTAATAACAAGTAACAATTTATTCTAATATTGCAAAAAATTCTCACAAGAGAAAAAGGAACTGACTTTTAATAAAGACCAAGATACATCCCAACAACAAAAATTAGAGCCAACTCAACTTTAGCTCAGAAAAATATCTAACCATGAAACTGCAAAATATCTGTGCTTTGGTAATATTCTTACCATAGAATTACATAAATTCTATACAAATTCTTCGCTTTTTTCAGATCTTTTTTTCCCTTCAAAAATAATCAAATACCTTTTCAACCTTTAAGAAGTGGCCTTTAGATCTAATGATTACAAACATTTTCCATAATGTGAATTATTTAGAAACATTTCTAGTACCTTCTTGTTTCAGATCTATTCCCCCATGTTTAGCTATTCTGATGAACCTGCCTTGTATTTCACCAATTTATATACAAGTATTGTGGGTAAACATATTTAATTTATAAGTATATTTATAAACATAAATACTTGTCCTGGTAATTCTGAATGCAGCAGTTTACAATGGCTTTGAGAAACTTGCCTTCTGGAAACTTTCAGACCTTCAGGTTGAGGTGTTCATTAACCAGCAAACACATTGAGATACTAGAAAAGAATAAGGAAATATAATGACACTTCTGGTGTAAATGATTTTTAAAATAACTGAAGTTATTAAAACGTTTAAAGAAGACTATATTTGAATGGTCTGCTTCTACTTTAATTTGTTATAAGAATTTCAGGACAAATTTTAATTAGCTTCTTTCAAGATCATTGTGATTTAAAGAACTGCTGAAGTAAAATGCATATCAGGCACAGCCTACAAAATATTTTAGTAAAGCTACTAGACACTTCAAGCACTGTGCCTCATTCTTCACTTAAGTTTTTAATGCTGATTTTGTCCATTGTAGAGTTTAAATGAGATTTTTTAATCTGTAACATACATTTTACTTTAATTTATTTAAACTAGATTTCAGTTTAACATTTAAATACTTCACCATTCCGTAAGCAACATCAGGGAAACCTTTGTGTATTTTTATTTTCACCATGCCTTACCATGTTCATTATTTTCATAGTTACTATTTAAAATACAATCACTATATAAAACCCAACCAACCAATGAAAAATACCCAGACACAGAAAACACCAAAAGCACCAGGGTTTTTCTTGTTCCCCTCCAGTCCATTAATCTTTGAGCAATTAGGATCTTTTGTACCTGACTGAAGTTAGGTCAGCTGGTGTGGCCTGTGGACCTTAGAGGCCAAAGGCAGGTTGAGCCAATTTTGTTAAAAGGGATGAGAGACTTTGGGGATATTCATACTCATTCCTGAGAGTTTACAAGATTCCTCAGAGGTTCCTATTTATGCAATGGTAAATTGTAGAATTGGTTCTTCATTATACAAATCAAATGAAAATCAAGAAAGGCCACTATTTTCTTTCTTCAGATCTTAAAATTTAAATTACTGTAATTTTATCCATTTTATTTGGCTGTCCAATTCCTTTTGCTCTTGGAAAAATATTTGATTCCTGACAACTAAGAATAAACTCCCTCCCAAAAAACTTAGAAAGAAGGAAAAGAGAAAACCAGTCTGAATCTAAAAAATTATTAAACATTCTGTACTAATTCTCAGTGCTTTTCAGAAACATCTAATAAAGTTGCTAACATACGCAGAAGTAATCATGGGAGTCCTTTGACATTTCTGCTGCACCCTGTCACAACTTCTGCTACCATTAGAGAATTTACAGAGCAATCAATAAATTAACAAATCCCCCAGCTTTCCTCAGTTTGCATAACTGAAACTTTGCCTGATGGGCTTTTGATTTGTCCAAGTCAAAGGGGAAATAAAGGTAGAATAATCCTGTTAGACTACTCCCACCGAGAAAAGAAACTGTGAACAAGTGGACACCACCTTCTTAGTGAAACTCAGAGATCTCAGTAAGGTTACATACATGCTGATAAGCATGCACAGCAAAATAAATCTTTCTTGCATTTGAACAAAAGTGAACGATTAGCTCTCACAAAATGAATTAACAAATCTAGCAGGTCAGATGCCCTATGAATCCACTCCTTCCAAAAATTTCCTGTTTCATTAGTCTCTTGTATTTAATTTTTCTAGATTTTTTTTTTAATTACCAGTTCAATTCTATATATTGAAGTATTCTACATCTTCTGAAAGAATGTAATTGTCTTGACCAATAAAGATGAATTATAACCCAAATATCTTCTGGAGCATTTGTAAACTTCATTTGCATACTGCTTTCCACAACTTTCTCTTAGCTTCACATATTTTTGCCTCCTCTGAAGACATTTCTATTCCTGCAAGTGTTGCTGCCAAATTCGAAAGTAAAAATAATAATAAGCACCTTTGGAACCTTTTGTATGCATTTTAAAATTATATCTATTTCATATTAATTACTTAAATTATTTGAGTAACTCTTGATCTTGCAGTCTTAAAATTTTTGAGCTAGAAAGGCTTCTATGCCAATCTTTATTCAACAATATAATATTAAAATAAATTTTCTTAATTCATCAGTACTGAATTTGGGAAACTATAGTAACAAACAAATTGTACAAGCATTTATCATTTGAGATGAGGCAGGAAAACATTAGAGCAGGTACTAAATATTTGCATGATTCTGAATATGAGATTAGTTTAGGGAGGAATTACAGTACTTACACTAGTATTTACCAGACAGTTTTAAAATAATGAAAACTGAAATGTAAAATCAGTAGATGGCAGTCTCCATCTATAAAAATACTTGCAAGATAGAAAAGGAAAATGCTTTACTGAAATTTGTTGAACTAAAAGCAGCTATTAGTTACACTAGCTGAAAACGACTGTGAAATTCAGAAAAAAACCCAAAAAAAATCACACAAAAAATTTACAATGTTATAATCTAGCAACAATACATGATAGTTTTGGTTCACAACTTCCACATATTTATGTGAATTATTTTCTTTCTCTGAGAGCACATTACTAGATACACTGTGTTAGTCCCAGAATTATTTTAGTCATTTTAACAATTCAACAGCAATAAATACAGGTAGAATCTAGACAGGGGGAATGTTTTGATCACATTAGCTTTTTTATTTTGTGTAAACTTCATGCCTTATTTTTCTTAGTTACAATAAATAGTTGAATAAGGTTGATTGTGTCACAGTTATGCCTAAGAACAGTGCTCTGTGTGTCACAGAATTCCAGAATTGCACCATGGCTGGGCTTGGAAGGGCGGTCACCTGATTCAACCCCAGCTCAAATAGCACCAGCCCGAGGCAGGCTGTCCAGAGCCATGTCCAGACAACTTCTGAGCATCACCAAGGAATAAGAGCATGCAATGTTTCAGTAGGTCACCCTCACAGTAAAGAAGTGTTTCCTGATATTCAGAGGGAACCTCCAGTGTTTCACTTTGTGCCCATGTTCTCTGGTCCTGTCACAGGGACCAATGGAAACACCTTGGTCCCATTTGCTTTATACCCTCCATTCAGGTATCTGTAGACATTGATTTGGTCTCCCCTGTGCCTTCCTTCAATATAAACTTCAAATTAACATTTTCCTGAAGTAAGAAATGGAAAGGCCATTAAAATCTACCTTGAGTAAAAGGCAAAACAAACACAATAGCTGTTTATTAGGGATCCACAGCTGGCTTTTAAAGCCACACAAGTTTATTGACTGGAGCATCTTTTCCTTTTATGAGGAAAGGCTGAGGGAATGGGCCTGTTCAGCCTCAAGAGGAGAAAACAGAGGGGACCTGTTGACAGGACCTCATCAATGTCTGTAAGTATCTGCAGGGATGTTGTCAGAGGATGGAGCCAAGTCAAGTTCTATTCAGGGGTGCCAAGCAATAGCAGAAGAGACCATGGGCAGAAACTGGTGCACAGGAAGTTATACTTGAATATGAGGAAGAACTTCTTTACTGTTTGGATGGCCGTGCACTGGAACAGGCTGTCCAGAGATGTTGTGGAGTCTCCCTCACTGGAGATAGTCAAGAACTGTGCGGATGCAGTCCTGTGCCATGTGCTCTGGAATGACCCTGCTGGAGCAGGGGTGTTGGACCTGATGACCCACTAAAATACAGTTTTCTTCTTTAATGGCATGCACCCCATATGCAAAACATTATCATAAAAGTGGAGCCATGTATGATGAGATCTTGTTTTTCCTATTTTTCTTGTGCACATGAAAGAAAAGGGATTCCCACAACCAATTGTCCATTCTTTTTGTCTTGAACTGCACAGAAAACTCTATCCAAAACAGAAGAGAGAAAATGGGATTCAGAACTTCTTTCTTTGAATATTTATCATCATTGCACAATGTCCTAAAGACTAGCAGAAAGTGTCTTTAGTGTGGCAGAGTTGTCTTTGGCGTGGCAGAGTGAGGGGTACTCTTTAATCAGGCAGAGAATGCGCCCTACTTGTGTAATTTGGATAAATGTTGAGACCATAACACTTCAAACGTAGTACACCTCCAAACACACGGTGGCCCAATGTATCTTCAGCTCAACTGAGGATGTATAACAGTGGTTTCCACTGTGGCCTGTTCAGCACTTTTTAAAAAATATCCAGCTTTCAGAGTAAATAATTTTGTTCTAACAGAACATGTTAGCAAAATATGGTGTAAGCTGTTTCTCTGTGCCACTGGCAGGAAGAAATAGGACAGTAATGTGGGTTCTATCTGACATCAAAATAATAGAAAGTGGAAAAAGGCAGTTGTGTCAGTCAGCAGACATTACTATTCAAAAGATGCTGAGTTTATTTTTTAGGAACATGTACAATAGTGATGTGCACTGCTAATCTGGATAGGTATCTCACTCTACCTGTACATACCAATAGCTTTCCTATCAGTCTCATCAAAGCCATCTTCAGCTTGCTTTACTTCTTCAAGATTCATTCATTCATATGGTTTTACTAGAAGCCCAAACCAAAACAGATAAACAAACAAACAAAAGCAATCCACCTTTTGTTCTCCACAGTTACCAAATATTTTAAATGTATGAAAAGTAATAGGCAGATGTGGAACTAATAGAAGAAAAATATGTATTTATTTAAGTAATTAGTTAACTTTGCCATAACTCTGGGTAAGAGAGAGAAAAAAAAAAAGAACTCTATTTAATTATAACTATACAGGAAAATACAGACTACAGGAGTGGATTGCTGCCGATAATTCAGAATGGTAATCCTCCTTATACTGACAGGCTACTTTATGGAATTATGTAAGTTAGTTATCTGTACATGTTAGATGTCATACTGCTTGTCACTGTCTGCATTGTATGTTTAATTCTTTTTAAATAATCTTTTTTAAAATAACTAAATGAAAAATACTTAAACCATAAATATTAACAAATCTTGTTATAAGAAATGTTAATGATTAAAATGCAGAGTAAAAACAAGTGGGCAAGAAGAGGAAAAGGTCTTCTCAATTTGGCTTCCTCTGAGGCTGTAATTTTTCCAGCTACCTTTTGAAGTTTCATTGCTCATCCAAAAGTGCAGAAGCAGGAATAGTAATGCTGAGGTCAATTCAAACCATGACAAGCCAATACAGTGTTAAAAACTTTAGCCCACTTCTAAACTGAATCATAGAAGCACAGAATGGTTTGGATTGGAAGGGACTTAAAGATCACCTAGTTCTGAGTAATTAGTTACTTTCAATATAATTACTACCTCAACAACATAATTTATCACAATTTTGGTGTGAAATTAAACTTGGAGAGAGAAGGTGGGAAGATTGTAAGGCTAACTTGTGCTTAACTTGTGCTTCTGAGTACAGCTTCTTTCAGTCTCCATCAAAAGCACTTGAGTTTTCAAGTGAATTGTGATCCCACTTGCAATTAAATCTTCTTATAAATGAGAACCATAGTGCATAGGTGTTCTTAATATCTAAGAAAGGATGCCATTATATTTTAGTTGAATTAAAGTCACGATATTTCTTCAAAACCTGTAACTTGTTCAGGTTCCTTTTATTAAGGGAAAAGGGCTTCTCATATTTTTCTTTTTTTTTTTCCCAGATGGTGAAAAACACAAATCACAATATATTCTGGAAAAAAACACAGTAGTCTTGATTGCAAACATTCTCATTAAAACAACTCTCTGGCAGAGGGCCTTTATTTAGAAGGGAAAATTTGCTTAACAAGGTTGTTAGAGTCAATGTCTGTTGCATGCAAACACTGACTCTTTTACAGTTGAATTACATGTGGTTGGTTGTAAACACCATAACACTAGGAAGCAAATAATTTTAATATGCTTTTAATATAATCAAGATAGTAAAGACCTTCTTAACAGAATCTGGTTTAAGAATATTTACATTTGAGTGATTTCTAATTGTACATTAATAATGAATAATTATTGTAAGGAAAATAGTATGTCCATGTACTCTGCATTCCTGCAGTTTTAGTTCTAGATCAGGAATCTATAATCCTGAAAAATAAGATAGAGCATTAGCTGTTGATACAACACTAAGTTGGATATAACACTTAAAAATTATGGCAGTATAAAATACATTAGAAAATAGAGCATTATAGTATTGGTATACATTTTTACATCTCTCCAAATTGTTGCAGGTACTGAAATTAAATCCTGAAGTTTGCACTCAGTTTCAGTGTGAGGTTTTTATCTTCATAAAATTAGAGAATTACCTTCAGGATGTCAGCTTACTTCTCAGAATTCATCTGACAGGTAGTTGACTCAATTCTTTCTTAGATTTACTTATCATCATCAGTACTTTCCAAATTGTTTACAAACATGGGATATTTTCCATTTCTTGCTGCCTGAAATACCTATGTGCTCTCTGTTCTGTGGACTGAACACCTACAGCTTCTGTTCACTTCATCTGAAGATAAGTGTATTTAACACATCTGGAAGAAGTTTGTGAGTGGAAATCTAAGTCGATTACACAGTTAAAGGCTTACTGAGACAAGTTCTCATCAAAAATATCATGGTCTATTTGGATAAAAATGAACTAATTTACGTGTATATCGTGATTAAAAGCATTAAATAAATACCTCCTTAGCGAAAATCCACTGATCTCCTTCCATTACGTGGCTGAAAGACAAATATTCATTAAGTTATATATTCTATAAAACTGACAGAATTTAGTAACAATGCCCCGAACAACTTTGTGTGTATAGAAATTGGTGAATTTCTCAGTAGTGTCATTGCGATTATTATCACAGATAGACCTAAGATAAGTTATTGTTTCATCTATATCTACTTCTGGAAGAGAATTATACACTAAAATTTACTGCATATCGATTGAATAATGAATTGTCTGTCTTGTATGATTTTATAAGGGGGAGAAAGCAGTAAGAAGTCACCTCAAGAGCTTGTTAATCCTTATTCTTTATGCATTTTCTTAAAATGTGCTTTCTGATTGTTATTATTGCATTGCAAGTGTTTGTTGCTATTAACAAACAAATACATGTCATTCTCAATGATTTTCTATTTAGACTGTATTCTTTGATATAGACAAGGACTTTCTCCCTTTTCACTGTGGTGTTTTTTCAGAAGTATTTTGCACTAGCCAGGATCTTGAAACAACTTCTACTAAAGCTGATAAAAAATTTCTTCCTGGGCTTAATAAGGATTTGTCTTTACTCTGGAAGCATGAATACACCAATGTTAATATTACCCATAACTTTGGTCTGTCATAACAACTCTAAGAATGCAAGCCTGATTCATAAAAAATGTAGCTGTAGAAATCTGTGGTCTTTTCATTAGAATTATAGAACAATTTAGGTTGCAAAAAGACCTTCAAGACCATGGACTACAACATTAGACATGTTTTTATTTAAAATCATTAGCCACTTTCTTGTTTCAGTAGCAATACTAATCAAAATGGAGAGAACTATTCAAATGTCTGACTTGCCACCTTCTCAGTTTTGTTCAAGTGAAGTAGAAAGGCTCTATGTCATAAAAGCTGAACACAGTAGATTCAGTCTCATGAGAATTCCTTTATCTAGTTTCTTACCTTAGTGGTCAAAACAGAAGGAAAATGGCAAGGTCAGACCTAGCACACTCTATAAGCATGGAATCATATTTACATCATATGCAAACAGACCCTGTTGAACAAAGCTTTATGAGGATTTTCCAGGATGTTGTATTTTCTAGAACTTTTTCAGACAAATAGATACGAAATAACCAATGACTTCTTAAGGCATTGAATGGTATCATGTATACACAAATCTAGGTATATGATTTAAAAGAAAATCCTACAATGCCTTTATTTTAATGCAAGGAAGTGTCAGGAGCAGACCTGGGAATGTCCCTCTGTAGGGTGGAATGCTCTTACTGAAAAAAGTATCTTCAATCACAGTAATTCTTTCTGTAAATCAGTTATTTCTCTACTTTTTTTTCTTTTTCTTTTTTATTGGTAACTCTCACCACAAAACAAAAAGAAAAAATCAAAACAAACCATACCCTGTAGAAAAAATAGCCTCTGCTTTGAATCATTCCTGGTCCTTGAAGTTCTTCCTAAAAAAAAAAAAAGTATTTTAAATTATATCTACACCTGAAAATTAATACATACAAAGAGGTTGTTTATGTATATATAAAAAAGAATTCTTCAATACTACATACAGTCTTACTCCTTAAATGCTTTATATGCATTTCTCCATGTCAGCAAGGCAGTTTATGCTGTCATGTAGAAATAGCAGAGAACATATGAATGGAGCCAAATTCCACCTAAAGTTTTAGATCAGCTGAGATTGCTTTTGAATGGTACTAAAAATGATGAACAGTCTTTGCCTCTGATTTTCCAGGCTTCATTACCCAGGCACAAGAGTGACTTCATCTCTACAGATAGAGTTGGGTTTTTGCATCTTGCAGGAGGGCAAAAATACAAAGTGTAAATATCAGAAATATTTGAATACTCCCAGAACTGAGACCCCAGACTGTTCCCGAAGATGTACCATAACCCCCCGTCTCACATTAACTCCCAAAGAGCAGTGCTTATGATAGTCCGTGCTGCACACAGGGTGAAACAGCTGCCTGGTGATTCATACAGCAAGGAGGGTAACAAATAATGAAGAAAATAGAAATTCCGTTTAAATGTAACAAGTACAAAGCATGAAGTATCCATGCTTTAATGAGATCTTCATGATTAGAGAACACATATGGTTAATCACAGTGTTTTATTTGCTTCTGCTGGGATAAGATAGGAGTGATGTGTCTGTCCTGCAGGTGGGGAGACAGTAAATTTGAGAAACAGAATAGTCTCAGTGTTAGGCTTACCAGCACATAAAATGAAGATGGCTTTTATTTAGCAATGAAGGTATTTCTCAACTAAAAACTGGGGTACTGTGATCTCTTGGGTAAATATGATAAGGTGAAGTGTCATAGAAAGGAATCACGCCATGCTCTATTCTAATGCTGTGAGAATTGTGTCAAACAAGATGACTCCCATAATTTCCAAACTACAGAGGGAGATGCAATCCAGGGAAGCTTTCAAAGGAAGTAGAGTTTAAACCACACATAATTTTTGAGTCTTGATTTTAGTTCTGACTTCAGTTCACCACATATAGCATTATATTCTGTTTCTTGCTGTATGTAAAGCATCTGTATGATTTTTATTTCTATTATTCTTCTCATTCTAGTATTATCTGCATTTGAAACACCCATCTTGGATTTATAGTCTGATCACTACTATAATTTTTTATAGTTCAAAAGGGTAAATTTTTTTTTCTACATTGCCATTTGAGTCTTATGGTATTCATATGTAATTTTTTCAACTTTTTCTATTCAATGTGTGAACAAAACTGAAAACAGGAACAAAATAAGCAGCTGTTGCATGATTAAGAAATTAATTCAGAACAGAAAAATAATCAAGAGTACAACTACTGGTGAGAAATTTTGATTTCTGTTAATGTCCTTTTCCTCTTACAACCAGACACTTCTTAAAGATTACATGTTATTGTTTGACTCAAATAGTAGTGTCAGAGGTTTGGTATTAGAAAATGGCTGAAGCTAAGAATCTGTTATTTTTTTTAACACTCACCTTCTAAACTTCTAAGGCTTTGGAGATGTTAAAAAAACCCAAAACAAACAAAAAATTGTCATGATAAATATGCAAGCTTATTCACAAATCTGCATGTATATATGTATGTACACAGAAAAATGTGTATTCCTGAAGATGTATGATTACTTAGAGTTTTATTGCATTTATTTATTTGTTTGTTTGTTTGTTTGTTTATTTTAATGCCTGCCCTCTAGAAGGTATTTTGCTCAGTCTCTTATATTGACTAGCCAAGAAATTGCTTGAGCCTTCTTTCTTAGATCATATCCTATCAGGCAGGCTGTAGCTCAAGAGGAATCAAAGCAGTGGAAAAATCTGGTGTTTAAAACTGGGGAGAAATAATGAATTTAATAGAGCATGTTTCCCCCTTTGCCCATTTTCAATTCCTTATCTAGTCAGGAAGAGAGGTGGATGTGTTTATGTATAGCAGGCTCTGGTTTTCTTCCCAATATGACGAAGAAAAAAGATCAGCAGCAAGATAACCCTTCCTGAAGCACATTCTGTGACACTGAGATTTGGGTAGTCCAGCCAAAATATATAAGCAGAAAGGTCTACAAGGGCATTTTTAGGAAAGCTAATGAATCACAAAGTGTGAGAACATAAGCATGCAGAGTTTAAGTTTACATACGTCCAGTTTGTATCTCTTCAGTCTTCTCTCATTAAGCTGAGGAACGAGTTGCAGTAAAGGATGCAGGACAGACGACTGAGAGGACACGAACACACACACATGAGCAAAAGTGGAATTTGGCCCTTGTGATGAAAATAAGTCTCTTTCTGCAGTATTGGCTCATGGTCCAAACATGCACCAAAAAAAGGACTAAAGACTGAGAAACTTCTTAATTGAAAAACTTATTTTTTTAAACATTTTTACTTGACAACAGACAGGCATCAACATTTAAATTTGCACTGCACAGAGCGATGGTGAGAAATTCTATCTATCCTCACCGTTACTAACTGAAAGTTCAAAACCATTTACAGACTCCTGGAATTAGTCAAACTTTGATCAGTCTCTAGGAGTGGTACCGAGAACATTTCTGTACACTGTTCCTACTAACACTTCTTAACAATTTTCTACTATGGAAGTTAGCAGCTTCAACATTTGTTGTACTTAAAATTTCATTTTACTTGAAAATAAATAGCAACAAAAAAATTGGATTTTTTGGTAAAGAGCAGTGTCCAGTAGAAATCCATTCTCAAGGGTTATATTTAACCATAGCATTGGTCACTCTATCTAAGCTCTGATCATGAAATTCTTTGAGTTCAACAAGATTTTAAGCTTGCAGACAGCTTAATTATGCACAGTGGCATTGTGTGCAGCCTAAGTGCTCACCGTGGGAAAACACAACTATGTGCAACTTTGGATAGAGGTCCACAGGAAGAAATAAAGTATAAAAAAAAAACCTGTGTTCCATTAACCAATTTAAACCTTCAACTCATATAAATGTAATTTAAAAAACAATGAATTTTTGCTACTTAGAGAAGTAATGCAAGTAAGAGAATTGTGATGTATGAAGTAACCAGAGTACCAAAGTGGTATTGTACTGCTTAGGTAAAGAGAACTTGCTTATTTCTAGCAAATTTTTTGCTATCTGCCTAAGGTAGGCAATATGGGATCATAATACCTAAAAAAGAAGGAGTTTGATATGATTGAAGCAGTTAATGAACATCCCAGCTTGGGATGATCCACCTGGGCTCTGTCTTACAGCCAGTGGAGTGAGCTTATGAAGCCAAGGAATGATGGATCTCACCTAAGTTAGTATCTCTGAGAATGGCTAGAAAATTGTCATCTGAACAATGACAATAAAAATAGCTAAACAGCTAAAAGAAGTGAGGAAGTAGTAATCTCTGGGGGCAGCAGCAAAGGTATTCAGGATGGTGGTGCAGTGAGATGCAGTAATCTTTTAAGCAGGAGCGGCAGCAGAAATAGCTCATTTCACTGTGCCTTAATTACCATTAAAGCCTCCAAAGCAGCTGTAGCATGAAAACATTGACACCAATATGAGCAATATCACCTTCTAGGAAACACACCACATATTTCTGGAGAAATGTAAAGAACAAGGCAAAAATGGACACTGGCATGTAAGAATGATTGTTAAGAAACAAGAAAACATGAGTATGTTTAACTGTCTCAAAACTCTATGGTGCATAGATACACAAGGATAGCAGAGGATGTTTGCACTTCAAAAGCGAGATCACATACTTGGCTTGTTGGTTTATGAGAATATTTCTAGAGCAACAGTTCTTAGCCATGGTTTAAACAATACTTTTCATTCAAAATATAATCCAAAGTCCAAGTGAGACTTAAATACTATTTTGCCTGCTATGTATTTATGAAATGTGCAAATGAATTAATACAGTTTAATTAAAAATTAATAAAAATGCTTCAAGTGTATCTAATAGTTATGGTCCTGTTCTCAGGTCCTGTAAGTCCACATTGTTTCACTGCATGTGCTATTTTCCAATACCCAAAAAAAGTATTTGCTCTCATTCTTAAAATTTGAAACTGCAAGATAAAGATTCAGTTGGGATTCCATGAATGTTTGGTTGAGTTTGTTAGATTTTTTTTCCTGTACACCTGTACAACACTGATCATCCTCCCCCATATTATTAAAACACCTTCTGTACTGTAAACATGCAGTTCCCAGTCCTGAGTTTACTATACAGTTGGAGAGACTACTGCAGAAAGGAATATTGCCTTGGTTTTATATACAAGTACTCACTCATAAGGAGGTGCTATGCCACTTACCATGATGTCTGAGTTTCCCGAGTCATGAGTCTTAGAATAATGAAATAAAAACTGTTTGAAAAAATTAAAAGTGGGGTTTTACTACAGAACAGGGCAAGAGTTTTATGATTTTCTTGCCTTTTTTTAGTGTGATTATAGGACATATATAGACATCTTACCCTTTTGGTGTTGGCTTTCTCATCTAAACCCTGTGGGAATAATAGTTGGTAGAAAGGCTTTTATTCATTAAAATAAAAAGAACAATGGATAATTTTGATTACATACATAATCTTTTCAGCACTGGGCTAAAATATCCTTCTTCCTTGGCAGATATATGTCTTTGCTTATCAATCTAACTAATAATTTCAAACTCTGTAGAGTGTATTGATTACTCTGCCTTAGAAGAGTTAGATGTGTTTAGTAGATGTGCCCTTGTTCATCCCCAGACTCTCCTAAGTAAATTTATTTGTCTCCTGAGAATTCATAGTTTTTCTAATCTGAAGAAATAAAAACACCTAACACTTTGTACCCAGACTGGAGAAAATTTTCCAAAAACTGATTGTGTCCCTGTTGTCTTTACAAAGTGTTACATTCTGGCAGATGGCATTTCAGAGTAAAAACTGATAGAAATACTTCCAGTGCTGAATGACACTTTGCATACTGGGTCTTCAGAATTCATTATAGGCAATGGCACAGTGAGAGATCAGGCTTCAAAAATGCTAAGCAGTCTTTTGTGTGTGTTACCTGTGGTTTCTGGAGAAATCCCATGACCAAAAAACAAAGTTCTTCCAGTGTAGTGGACACCTAATGCAAAGAAAACAGGAATTCAGGTATCACAATTCCAATTCTACTACATATAACAAACAGTGTCATAATTGTAGAGTTACCTCTGTCTGACTGACCTGAGGCTGAGAATCTGTGGACAGGTAAGCAGAACATGCATCGTCTATCTGTAAGAGTTCACACAGTTTTTTTAGGAAGCCAGAGTAATAAAAACAAGAGAAATATGCGTATTTTCTGAGAATGGTAAGTGCAGCTAATCTGTACAAACATACGTATCAGTGACCTTTATTTCCTACCCACCACACACTCCTCTTAATTGCAGACTTCTCAGACTAAGTCATATTTTAAGTTACGATTGTAAGCATCTGGGGCATGATCTGTGAACTTGAATCTCTTCCGCAGTATCTTTGAATTATACAAAACTGTGAAGAAAATGCCTAAACTAAGGCAAGGGATTCAAGGATCAATCCTCAAACACAGCTCTTTCAATTGGATTATGGCATCCCTACAGGCATATGACACATGCATCCCTTGAGTGATTGTGATCTATGATGGCACATCTTACGCACACCATAATCCATTTGTGCCAGAAGTTTGCAAAACACTGTCTGAAACACCACTAGTGTTTGTCTTCACCAGTCTTTTCAAAGCTGTCTTCATTCAGTGCAGTCATGATCTTGTCTTGGAAGAAGTACTGAAGATGTGATTCCTGTCCATCCTCTCCCTACCGTTCTAACCTTGTATTAATTACATCCTCCTTCTGTTTCTTTTCAAAGATGAAAGAATAATGTAATACTGAGTAATTTTTAGTTGAGTTATTAATAGAGAAGGAATAAGAGATGGAATAAAAGGTATTTGAGTTCAGAGAAATAATATTACCAGCGCTGAAAGCTCTGAGTATTCTGTAAGGAAAAGTCTCCAGCACTGCAACTGAAGTTGCACAGTTTAATAAAGATGACAAAAAGCAACATACAATTTTATTAAGTAACTTAAAAGTTATATCAATAGTAGCCTCCATCAGTATATGCTATTTTTTTTCCATTTAACATTTGGTAGTGTTAGACAAAAAAAAAATCTTTGCCACTCATGTTGTTCACAGGCTGCATAAAAAACACCGTGATTTTGGGGGGCAGGGTTTGATAGACCAGGCAATGCAATAGTTCCTGCAATTTTTTTATAGATAAAAAGCCCTAAGTGACATGCATTAGCAATGAAAACATTAAAGAAAAAAGGAAATTAAAAAAATAATGCTTATCTGAGCTCTTGAGGACAGGAGATGATTCATTTCTCCGGAGACAATCTATGAGAAAGCATTAGCAGACATAGTGGGAAAACTAATAGCTCACAGGATTCCCTTCTCAAATCGGTTTTGTTGGTAACACATCCTCTCCTTTCTCTTATTCCTTCATCTTGCATATGTTTGAGTGTATTAGTTCAGCTTCAGTTCTTTCAGAGTAAGGAAGTATAGAGGAAGTCAGCAATGAATGAGAGAAAATCAAGCTGAAGTAATTTTGGAAGCTTATGTTAAAAAAAGAGCTGTTTCCTCTTGGGGATTGTTTGTGTTTCTGTTTTGTTTATTCACTTGACAAAGAGAACTACCATAATTCAGTAGCAGAACAAACCAGAGCCTGCTTTGTGTTCAACACGGTGTCTTTCAGCTACAACCTTCACAGACAAAGCGAGGGCTGAGGAAAAGCCACAATTTCTGTTAATTCCTTTTTAAAAAATTAGTAGTTTCTATCTTCTATGCATCTTCTCCAAAATTTTCTCTCCTGTCTCAGAAACGTGGGCTGAGGGTAGAAGATTGCAAGTTGCTTGAGGTTGGTTAAATAACATAAAGAAACAAAAGGAAGTAAGAGAAAAGTAAAGAAATAAAATACTTAGTTACAAAGTTCTCAAATTTATAAACTCAGAGCCATTCCTGGAACATACTAGGTTTATTTAGAGGCAGGGTTTCTCCTGTGTAATCCACTGGTAAAGTAGCAAAGAGTGAAGAATTGTTATCTGCACTTTATGTAACCCTGGTGAACTACTATGAGTGAGCAATTAGGTTGATTTAGGGTAAATAACTGTATATTGAATTCTCTTTCTTTTGACTCTTTCCAGTCCAGCATAATTCTAGTTCTAATGGTAACTTTTATATTGCTTCTATTACAAAATTTTACAAAATATAGCATCTTATGCATACCATTTTCTTCATTGAAATCAAAAGGACCAGTCATCACAGAGACAAATCTTACAGCTAGCAAATCTTATCAAGACATTCAGAAATGTATAAAACAGCTTTTTAAATCCAGAATGTAAATAACTCATTTTCAAAACCTCCTTACAGTTATCAGGATCTTACTTCCCAAGAGTTCCATTTTTTCCTGGGTAATAAATGTCACTGGGGCTTGCTCAAGTGCCAGTCTGGAGTAGGTTAGGTTTTGAGTCACCATGTCCAACATGAACTGTGGGGACATGGCAGTGAGTGGAATGTCTCCTGCAATGGTCTCAATCAGAAGAAATTTACTCTCTGCATCTGCCCCCTTGATGAGTCACTTAGTTTCCAATGCTGTCAAAAGCTACTAAATTAAATGTCAACACGGTAGTTGACAGTTGCAGCAACACCAGGGCATGCGAGTTGGAGGGTTTACCCACATGTTATGCCCTGCCACTCCATCTGTGCCAAAAGGGCAGGGAAGAGCCTGTGTTAACACCTGCGCCACCCTCCAGGGTCAAAACAAACATTCATTTCAGAGATGAGAGTGGAAGTTATCATACCAATCAGCAGACAAATGTTAGAGAGGCTAATTGACACAATACTTTGTCCTTTCCCTCTTAAATTCAGGGCTAGGATAGGATTGAACAGTGTCCCAGCCTTGTGTGCTGAACAGAGGATGCAAGAAGCAAGACTTGATGAGCTGAAACAATTCCTGAGTATCACATACAGACTATGAAAATACCAGATGGGAGGGACACTGTGATGTTTCCGAGGACAGTGTTTGCCTGGACAGTGACAGTTATCAAACATAGCTCTCCATGCAAGAGAAATACTGAATAGTGAAGTGGGACTGGAGCAAGGATGAGCACAGACGAAATGGAAGGATACCACATGGTAGATGATGCTTACCTCTTTCAAGAGCTGCAAATCCTCATCTGAATCAAGCGCTTGGGATGGCATTGGTGCACCTGGAAACACAAACTGTGCTTAGCAATGCTGTGCAGCAAAGGTCATTAGTATAAGTGTCCCATGTCACACATATCTAGCACAACTATTAACTGCAAAGATCGAGACCTGCTTGGTCTGAGGAAGTCTGTGACCCTGGGTGCTCTGTGGTTCTGTGTTGCCTGCTCTATTTCAGCAACACAGCAGGATGCTTTTTCACAGGTTCACAGCAGATATGGACACCCACATCTGAGCAATAAACAGTGGGGAACTTTCTTAGGTGTCACTTAGAAAATCACATTCCAGTTCCTACAACCTCGAGTTTTCTGAGAACTCTGCTCACCTCTAGTGCACACACTGTAAGTTGAGGATCTGGACTCTACTTCTTGCCTTCTTGTGTGCTACAGCTGCAGAATTGAACATGCACCATGTAATGTACAACTGCATATAAATAATGTCCATGATATGAACCTGTTGTTTTGAGAAGCTGATACACTGTCGTACATGTGTAACTGGATTTGTTTCCTCTCTCTTGCATATGTGATGTGGAAAAGCTTCTCCCTCAGTAGATCAAATGTGCTCTTAATTGCAGAATGATGCAGTGAAACTATGCTTAACTTGGGGCAGCTCCTTTCTCTACTTCTAACCAACCAGGCTGCAGACATGGAAGTCACTGTCCCAGGGTCCCTCCCAGCTCATTGTCCAGAATATCCCTCTTACCACATTATTTTACCTGGCAGTGTATTTCTGATAGCAGTGTATTGTTAGAGTCTCTGTAAATAACAGAAATGAGAATCAGACACCACACAATGGTATCAGAGAGAGGATGTGCTGTAACTCCCTTGGGAGTGAAATTGGTTTCAGACCTCTAGACCTAGCTAGAATGTCCAGTGAGCAGGGAATAAATTATCACCATGTTATTTGTTTTACATTTACCCCTAATAACAATGATCACAACAGTAGTTAGCTCCAGGCATTAAGGGATGGATTTCAAAATCACATTTTTCTACTGGCACGGACTTAAGGTGACTAATTATTATGGATGCTTGCTTTGCCCAAAAAAAAAAAAAAATTAGAGGGGCTCTTAATTTCACACTATACACAAAGCAGTATTTTTAAAAAAATCTCTGAGTTGTTCACATAACAAGGAAACTGATTTCCAATTATTTGTTTCATTTGAAAGAAAAATGCCAAATAAATTAAAGGTGCTACAATTGTCTTATGTTTTCTTCTGCTTTTCAAATATTGTATTAGAACTGGAATACTGCCTGGGATTAGTATCCTAGTTAAAAGAATGGAACAGGGCAACACTTGAAATCAGCACACCTTCCCCATCAAAGCATTGCCTGCCTATCTCTGATCACTGCTTCTGCCATTGACTGGTTCCCAAGGCTTTTCAGGGAGATCTAAAGAAATTCATTACCATGAATTAGTAAACCTTAGGGCAACAAGCAGGAAGGTCTGAATATTATAATTTTCTCCCTTTTTTTGGTAGCATAAACTTCTGGACAGAGAAGATAAAGTATTTCACACACTCCTCACGTTCCTTTAGCTTTCTCTACATATTCAGAAATTTTTATTTCATGTGCAACCCCATTTGTTTTGTGCACCCAGGACTGTGTTCCTCCAGAGACTGAGAAGTGTTCCTCCATCACCCCAACCAGAACAGGGCTGCAGCACCTACAGGACTTCATTAATTTACACAACAGCACATACAGTGAAACATCAAGGTTTTTGTAAAATACACGAAATAACCATAGGCGTATGGAGAAAAAAAGAAGGCAAGAGAGAGAAAAGAGAGAGAGGAGAGGAGGGAGAGGAGGGAGAAGAGGGAGAAGAAGGAGAGAGAGAGAAAGAAAGAAGCATGTGCCATTGAAGAAAAGATTCCTATTTAAAGGGAACATAGAGGAGGCAATCCTTCTACAAAATCAGCATTGTTCACAGTGCATTTGCTCTCTTGTCCTTCAATTTTGACATCTTTAAGAAATTCAGCTTCTTTCAAGGCAGCAGAATGCCAGATGCACAGCCTGGGACTCACTTGTTACATCTTCTCTTCCCTCTACTGCATCCCTAAACAAGCTCCTGGTGATCATTTGTGTAACAACAGTGATGAAATGCTGTGTGCCACTGCCCTCCATTGCAGTCCTCTTCCTTCCCTCCCTTCTCCCACATCTTCTGAACTTATTTTTAACATAATATTAAGTACGCTGCAATTAGATTTCTTTGGTTATTGATATTAAAAAAACACAACAAAGCAGAACAAAAACTCACAGCTAAACCAAATCACACAAATATAACATAAACAAAATAGAAATAGTCCTTGCACAGCATTTTGTAATGTTACTTTACAAGGTGTAAGCAGCTAATTTATCTGAGGTGGAAAAATAGAGTAGAAAAGAGAGTATGATTTGTTAAAAAGTCAGCTAGATGTTTCACGATATCCACCTGCTACAAAAATAGCAACTTTCAGGATTCTTCACCTGATAAATATTGCTACAGGTTGGAATGACTGCCGGAGGGTTCCTAATTTATCCTGCTGTTTTGTGATACATGTCGTTTCATGCCTTTTCTTACCTTTTCAAAGCCAGACTAAATGACACTTCGAGTGAAATCTCTTTTCAGAGAAGCCTGTTCCCCGAGCTGCCGGGGTGTTTTGCCAGGACAGGGTGTCGGTAGCGGGCCGCGGAGGAGGCTCCGCAGCGCAGTCCCCGAGCCGTGCCCAGCAGCGGCCCCGCTCCGGCGGCGGGCTGCGGGCACCCCGCTGCCCAGCACAGCGCCGAGCTGCCGGCACAGCAGGAGCGGATGGCGAGCGCCCTGATCCTCACCTTTGCAAGCAGAAATGGAGGAAGCGAGGAGGAGGAGGAGGAGGAGGAGGAGCGG